ACCATGTTGCAGAACAAGGCATTCTTGGTTGAGTGGCTAGCACACAACACGAAGCACGGACCCGACATCATTGCCTTTGCAGGAGTCGGTATAGCAGAATCCATGTTTGCTTATTGGGGAACCTGGGCATGATCCGCATGTCCACGAATTCTGATGCATGAGTTTTTCCGTTTTGCATATTTTCAATTCCTCAAATCCGTGATGCGCGTGTTTGCACTTGACCCATTTTGAATCTCAAGAAATATGTGTCTGCATCCGCAGCCACTTTCGGTTTACAACCAATCCGACCTTTGCAATCTTGTATGCTCGATCACTTCGAAGACATGCCCATTCTCAATATGATCTTCGGACGATCCAGTGCCGCGGCACCTGTGCCAAAGCCAATGATCAAGAGACGGGCATCACCGTTGAAGGAATCCCCTGCTCGTGATGAGGAAGATGAGACATCAGACTGCCCCATGGAGCAAGTCGCCGATGAGAATCCATCCGCCTCCCAGCAACCCGAGAATGTCAACATGGAGCAGGTTGATTATGATCCAGATTCCGACGACGATGATTAAGATGAAGAAGGGCATCCTCCCGCAGGAAGGCCTACGTCAAAGGCGATGCCGCATCCGAAACTTGTTCCAAAGTCACCGCCACCAGCATTGAGGCTTGTCTCCAAGGTCAAGCCAGCACCAAAGAAAATCCGACGATCATCCTGGTGATCGACCTGCACTTCCAAGGCGACCAGTGATGCGGCCTGTTCTCACATCCAATCATCGGTGGTTTGTAACATATGGATCGGATACAAACATCAGCCTCCAGAAGGAATCCGTACACCCCGGACCTTTCGGAAACTCAAAATTCCTGAATTTTGTGTACGAGTACTACAGGGAGTGCTAAACCATCCTCGATGTCAATCCGGATTTCCACTTCGTTCCTGAGCATGAGAGACCACATGGAGTTAAGGTATTCTGGTTGAAGGCCAGATTCAACGATTACTGGCAGCCAACACTCCAAGGTGAAGGACATCATACGGAGAAGCAATACATGGACTTTATCAAGAAGGTCTACAGCATCTGCTGCTACACCAATGCTCAATCGGAAGTTTACGGAACTGACATCATCCCGATGGTATGCCACAACGGCAACATTGATCTCGAGACGACCGTCCAGAATGTCGAACAGGTTTGCAAAGACTTCCGCATGGATCCATCCAAGGCGAAACAGATCACAGATCTCATCCTCTGGCGAATTGAGAGCATGAGCAGATCATTTTCCGGATGTCTTCGACATGATCCAAGGCATGGAATCCATAAGGAATGCAGACGACCAGTGGACATGGGTCCTGATGCATCCGTCGAGCTCTATGACGCATTGACCTGCATTACACATGCCAGGAACTTCAGTGGAAATAAGCCAGGACTTCTCTTGATGGCTATGTTCCCGAGCTATGGAAAATCACGTTTCAAAATTGCATTCGTATTTCCATCCGTGGGCGGGCCATATAAGGAGTACCACAAGATCCGCACAAAATGCACTCAGGCCCGATGGCAAGGAATTCTATGTCGATCCAGAGATGGAGTTCTACGTGAGATGCAACAGCGGACACACACGACAAGTCGAGATCCAATCCTTTGGACGACCCCTGTACTCTGAGCAGCAGAAAGAGCCTCAACACGACGAACCGGACTATGATCTACCAACGGAATCTATTCCGCCAAGTCCGCATCCGTCAAGATCCGAGGCGCCTCCTGAAGATGAAGGCACAGCTCAGCCCAAGCACAGAATGCGAAGGCCGGCACCACCATCCATTGAAGAAGAGAGAAAAATCAAGCCGTTCGCGAAGAAGCCCATCACATTATGTTCCATGCAACCTATGGAAATCAGCTCTTCAGCATCATGGAGCACGGGCTCAAATCTGGGAAATCCCAGTCAAACCCTTCGGGGAGAATGCACGTCCACATGGCATGCATCGATGACGTCATCCTTGACGACGATGAGTCAGAAGCCGCATTGACCCATGTGCCAGCAGGAAGAGATGCACTGTTGATCCTTGCATTCCTCAAGGACCAAGACTATGGCATCCGACTCTCCGAACTGCGAACAGCGTTGACAGACAAAACCATCGAGGCAAGGAACATTGTTGCAGCATTTGAACCTGATGGCAGCCTCATGGCGAGCAACAAGTGGATCATGAAGAAGCATCTCAGTTATGAAGATTACGAGATGTACGACACCAAGATCCGCGAATTTGCCGATGCCTTCTTCAATTATGTGAATTCCACTAAGCACAGCAAGGAAAAAGATACTTCCTCAGAGACCAAGAAGAGACGGCATTCCACCGATCAGGACGAAGCTGAAGAAGAGACGATGGAACCCTCCGGGGAAAGATCCGTCAAGCCAAAAGTCACCGTGGAATATCACAATTCAGAGAACCTAGATGAGTTCATCCAAGAACTCAAGGGAATCTATCTCGACACAGATTTGAACAAAAAGGACGCAGAGGAAGAGCTCGCGGAGACCAAGGCAACCCTCTCCCGCTTCATGAACAAGTTCAACAAAGATCCAAGAAGAGCTCATCCCAACTTGACAGAGTGCGAGAGAGCCTCATTGGCACATGTCAATCCCGATGTCAATCTCGGAGAAGAAGAATTCTACTTCCCTCATCGAGGAGAATGTCCCACCATTGACGAGTACAAGCAAGCTCAACCAGGATCCGGATATCCGATTCAGCTTCCGCTTGGATTGAAGAAGCTCAGGTCACATGATGACCCGGAAATCATCCGAGCCTATGCCGATATCCTGGGATCGCTGATGCAGCCGGCCGACCGTCCTCCTGTGGATTATCTCAATATGCATGAGTTCACCTCATCCATAGCGATCAACATGCTTACCCTGAACCATGGAAACCTCACAAGGAATCCAAAGCTGGACAACAGGGAGGTGTACAACATGCCGATGAAGGATCGACGATCGTAAAGATGATGATGCAGAACAGTGCACACATCTTATGCCTGAATGAAGCAGACGCATTCTTCAGTCCTAATGATGAGAAATCCAGGGAGCTCATCAAGACGTTCATCCGATACGGTTACAAGGGCATCGTGATCAAGCAATGGTCATCCAGACCGATCGCATGCTTTGTCCGTGGCGGACCTTCTGCAAGAGTGGAACTTCTGGCAAGACACATTTCCACCAAGCGCCAGAATTGGGGAACCACATTCGGAATGTTCAGATGTTTCTTCGGAACTGAAGGAAGTTGCACTGATCCCGAATACGAAATTCCGACCTCGGATTGCTTGGCAACCACAGGACCATCCATGTTTACTGAATCCAAGAAGTACATTGGACCGAGATTGCCAACACGCACCATTGTCCAAGGACATGGCCGAGACAAGGAGATCGTCGTTCTCCATATCGAGCAGAGTGATGAGTTTCGTGGCATGATCCCGAAATCATCCAACAAGTCACTCCACGAGTATGACGACCGCCACATAACGAGGGCAGATCTCCCATTCGCTACCATTGGAGTTTTCCACATCCATCCTTCAATTAGCCATGGAGCAGTAAGGGAAGATCTTCAAAATGAAATCATGCCGCTCGTGACTTTGTACCGATGCGATGCGATCACCGGAGACGCCAACAAATCAGCGAACACCTACAGCAAACTCCAGCACGTCTTCAATCCGGCCAACGGTCTCGTGAACATCCTCATGAGAGCATATCAGAGACTGTGGAATGAAACGAAAGGTTTGCCACTCGTGGACAGAATGGAGTATGCAATGGAGACTTCGTGCACCCTAAAATCCATTGTCCGTCATCACTTGTACATGAAGTGTGGATCAGGATATGATCGAACATTCGCAGATGTGATGATGACTTTCGTATTTGGATGGGGCAAAACGAACATCCAGCAGGCTTTCCGGAAGGACGAGATGAACGGCATGGATGATGAACAACTGGAATTCATGCGGAACCATCCAACCAAGGCCATATTGGATTACCAGGTCTCATCCGCAGAGCGCTTTAAGCACGTGAACAATGACATGTTCATGAATGGCTCGCAGGACTCCGACTCTCACAGTCCTCTCATGGTTTACATCCGCAGCAAGTCTGCAACCAGGCAACGCAGCTCTGAGAGATACCAGGAGTACATCAAGAAGAAACAAGCCTGGACCCCGCCTACAACAAGCAGTGGGGACATCAGAAACAATGGAAGGACTATAGCAACTCGACCTGGAATGATTATGGAGACTATGGCAGTCAATCCGACAGCAGCCGCCGATGGTATCGTCGATCCGACTGACCATGAAGATTCATACGTTCAGCACCACGAACTCAATTCAGATGATTGATCCTCGCCGTCTACAAGACTATACCATGTGTGAGAGATCAATAGTTTCACAATCGTCCCGCGTGTACATAGCGTTGTACATCACCCTTTGATACATCTAGGTATCTCAAAAAGAAGCAGTACATAGTGTTTTCCATTTCGAAAGCCAAGACATTTCATCCGAGCAGAAAAGAGGATGAATCCGGCATTTTTAATACACATGGCTACGGCATACAGCATGGCTACGGCATACATCAAGGCTACGGCCAAAGGCCATGAAGCCAATAGTATTTCATACTTAGTGCTGGAGATCAAAAGAAATTTGTGTCTGTTTTGTGTTTGGTTCTCAGACCAATTGATCTCCCGCAACATTTGGCTCAAGGCCCCTTTTGTATATCATTGCATCATTCATGATCGCGTGAAGCAAAAGAACCTTAGCAGGCCGCTTACAGGATTATCCACAAGACAATCCACCAGCCTCCAATCGTCCACATTGGCATATTGGATTCTCTCCGGAATAGATCCAGGGACCAACAAAACGACCTCTACTACCACAGGGTACCAGTTCCCTTCTGCGATAGGCACCTGGGGCAGTGGGCCTCACCCCCCCCCCCCCCCGTTTTTTGGCCTCAACAGGGTCCGACAGGAGGCGCGGTCTGCGTCACGTGTCTTGCAGCCCTAGGCGCGCTGCTCTTTGCGCAGGGGGTGTCGGACGGCCTGGCAGCCGCAGAAGTCAACTCGGAGATGGAGACCGTGGCGCCCAAGCGCCGAAAGGGAAACCACTCGAAGCTCCAAAGAAGTCAATGGCTGGTAGCGCAACCCACACGGGATGCTTGCCGAAATCCTGGACGTAAGAAGGGAAAATTCAACGGAACAGTGCAAAGATGCAAACAAGATTAAAGTGACACAGGCAGCAGCACTCCTGGGCCTCAAGAGGGAAACCAAGGAAGTCCGACCACTCGTTTCCCGAGGGGACCCGGGAGAAAGGGTACCAAGAAATGCCGTGGTAAAACAGGCTTGATGAGACTACGTCCAGGAGATGTTGATCCCAGCTGAATAAATCGACTTGATACGTAGGGGGGTGGACTGCTCTATGTGTTTCCGGGGTGAACATTTGACTTACATTCAGATTTATTGCTTTGTTTGAAATCAACCTCTGGCCTGGGTTAAGGTAGTCAAACACTGCAACATGACCCCGGGTGGCACAAACATTGCGTTGGCACAGTTGCGGAATGCTTGCATGGTCCAAGTTGTAAGGGCTTCGATATTAGATGTACCGCTGTCCGTCGCTCTTCCAGGGCAGCCGGTCAACATATTCCCCTGTTTGGGCACATTGACTGGCCTGGTGCCAAATATACACAAACCCCAAGCGCTTCCAGGTGCACTGAAGCAAGTAGACATGTTCTCAAGTTACACCATGTGCAACGAGTATTTGCTCGTTGCGCACCCGTGGTCTTCGGTTTTTTCTTAGTTTACTTGCCTACTTGGGCCCCAATCAATGTGGCGCCATTCTCCTGCAATCGGACAGGCCGGGGCTGTGGGGGGGGGGGGGTTGAATTTGGGAACGCATGTGCACCTCACCCATCCTCACTCATCCAAATCTGAGAAGAAGCCAGCCTGTTAGTTTCTGGCTTGGGTATCTCCAGCAGTCTTACGAGGATGTACGTCGATTTGCTCTCTTGGGGTGTTGGGAAGGAGTCACCGTGGCAGCCCCAAAAAAGGTCCTCTTCTCGAAAGCGTAGCAAAGGGCCTAAGCTGGCTATCACACATTCACAGCCATGAGGTAACTTGGGTTGATACCCCGCACCCGATTCGAATGATTTGGTAGGTTCTGTCGGGCATACTGAGAAAACAACTATTGCCCTTTCGGGCTAGACCGCATGTACGGATGGTCCAAACCAGTTGGGCCTCTAAGGCTGGCTTTTGGACGCCAATGTGAAACTAAGCATTTGGTTGGCATGCGCTACGGGATGCCATGGAACCCCTTCAACCAAGCCAATTGGGGGGGGGGGTGGGATGGCACAGGTTCGTCAGGAACCTCTGAGAAAGGGAGGCTTGTGTATATTTGGCAGCCAGGCCAGTCAATGTGCCCAAATAGGGGAATATGTTGGCTGCCCTGGAAGAGCGACGGACAGCGGTATATCTAATATTCAATCCCTTACAAGTTGGACCATGCAGGCATTCCGCAACTGTGCCAACGCAATCTGAGCGTCATGAAAGGGCTTGAGAGAGGAGTGGAACAGGCTTCCCCATATTTCCCCCCTTGCTAGTTTTAGACATCGCAATTGGACAATTTTCAGCAGTTTCCTTCTGGGAGGTCAAGCATGTATTACTTAAAAATAAATAAAAAATATCGCTCACATGGCATGTGGGCCGAGATGTCTGGTCCTGAGGTGAAGGATCACTTTGGTTCGGTCTCGCTGTCCATGCTGTCCTTGTACATGGCGGTGACCGGAGGCAACGACTGGTCGCTGCATCTGGGGCCGCAACGAGTCAGAGGAAGGGGTCGTTGTGGACCGCTGACCCTTGGTTGGCTTGGATTGGCGGCTTCGGTCGTTGAACAAATGTGCTTCTTGTGGACTGGAAATGGGGACCACTCCTCCAAACCACCAATCCAAATATCGACACTGCGCAGAAACGTTTACTCGCATGGGGGCGACTCCAAACCACCAATCAAGAAATATCCACACAGACCGGAAACGTCCCCTGCAATCCTTGGAAGCTGGGAAGTTTAGAAGACTGGAAAGGCCGGCGGGCTTCCTTTGCCCCTCCTGTGAATCTGTCGAGCTCACGTGGTGCAACGAGCTCTCGGTGATGAAGTTGTGTTGCTTGGGCATCCAATTCTTATTCCCGTTTGTGGAGTTGCACACTTTGTCCTGCTGAGCATACGCATATCATGTTTTTCCGGGTTTTGGAATTGCACAATTTGCAGGCTTGAGAGATGTTTGGACGGTGCTTGGAGTGCGCCTGCAACGGGTATTCTGGTCCTTGCAATCTCAGTGGGTAGCCCTGACTGGCCTTTGGAAAAGCGAGGGGTCGTGAATCTGTGGGCAAATCGAACGGCAGGAAGCATTCTTCCTGAAGGTATGCTCGTCGTCAGCTGATCTTCATTGTTTCCGTGCTTGATGGGGGGAGGGGGTCAGTTGAAATTTCTGGCCGTGCTTTCCCCCAGTTCTTTCCAGGGATCATGGCTCCAAAACTGAGAAACAGTTGAATAGCTTCTCAAAACAAGGTCTGCGTTGGCCTGTTTTGAACTTGCGGACACGGACTCACCGCATCCCATGGCTTTCTGCAGCTCAACTGGGCTTAGAGTCAGCTCAAGGCGCCCAAGGCACCCCAGAATTCGCTCCCCTGGACTCCTCATCCTTTGGGCTTTTTGACCGAGAAGGAGGACTTTGGCGAAAATGGCATGGAGGGCTTCTCACTCAGCAGGTTTTCGGCCTCCCAATGCTGGGCTGGAAAGCGTGGTGTGGCAGTCAGGTACTACTGGGTGCTGCAGGAGCTTGGCAGCGTCTACCACTTCCTGCGCCTGGGATAGCAAGCTCACAAATGAAATCGCCACACAAAGGGGGCGGCCGACCCCTCGTAATTTAAGCATTCAAACGTGTTTCTACATAACCTCCCTTCGCCTTTTCTGCAGTGACTACGGGTCTGGCTGCTTTACTTTGTTCTTTGGCGCATGTTCCGGCCCTGCTCTCAAGCAAGTGAACTCTCCCTGTTTGGCAGCCCGATCAGTGGCAGCAGCCAATTCCTCAAACTCCCCCCGAACCAAAGCCCCAATTTAGCTTTGCCCATTTCATGCAGACAACAGATGAGAATTCCACCTCCCTTTAAATTTGGTTTGAAGGGAAATCAGCAGGAACCCCACTACGTTTGGGTTCCTCTCATGCTGACGCATGCCCGCTTAGGTTCATCGGGTACACATTTTTCTTCGCCTTTGCCATCTTCAACATACTTACGGGGATCTTCGTCGAGCGCGCCGTCGCAGCATCCCTGCCCGACCGGGAGCAACAGATTCTGCAGGAGCATTGGGTGTGGTTTTTCCCCAACAGCCGAACACTTTGGGGTCTCAGCCCAGACAGGCTCCGGGGTGGTCCGGGGCAGCCCTGAGGTAAGGTTCCACGAGGGTCGGGCACCGTCGGCTGTACCTTTGTAAAGGTAAAGCGGCAAAGCAACACCGGCGCTTCGCTATGATTGGTGGCTTGAATTGGCGGTTAGCTCCCCAGGCCCCATTCGGGCACCGATTGCACCGTCGGGCCCCGATATCTTTTCCATCTCAGCGTGTGTACCTTTATACTGGTAACGCGGCATCCCAAGCAAAACCGGCGGCGCGCTATGAATTGTGGCTTGGTTGGTGGCTTGCTAGCTTATTTTGGTTGCTATATTTTTGGGCACGTATGTTTGGGGGGTGCCCTATCTGAGACAATCCCGAATTGGTTGCAATAACGAGAAGTTCCACCGATATTGCGGGTTAAAATCGATTGACTTAACCAATGGAGCTTTCTAACTAGTTTTTTTTTTTTTTTTTTTTTTTTTTTTTTTTTAAACTTCCGGTTTGTGAATTATAGAAATTTGCCCAAGAGTGGTTGAGGGAACGATCACTAACTTTACATGAATGTTTTTTTCGGGGAAAGTAGGGCGTTGTGGAAAATTGGGAGGGCGCTGCCGATATGGGAGCCCCATCTAAACCTGGCCATCTTCAAGCACTAGCTACAGAAAAGGGTGGTTCCCCAAAAGGAGTTCCCCTGAGCACCATAGGAGTGTATCACAGCGGCCTTCCATTTTCGGAAACCACACGGTGCCCGATAATAATCGATAATAGAGGGCCGCTGCAGACCCACCCAGGAGCGCCGCAAACTCCTGGAGCAGGCAAATGACTTGCGGTACCTCTTCTCCTGCACCTCGGCGTTGCCACATGGACCCCCCCTTGTTTGGTTTTATTTAAAGGGGGGGCCAAGTCCAAAACCCGCTGTTTTGGGGACCGATGCATATTTTCCTTAGAGTGGGTGGCCTTCCGTCCTTCAATGCGACCCGCCGTTGGCAGCTTGCAGCTGGACAGGACATGGAAGGACATCCAAAGCTGCCCGCAAAGCGGGGGGACGGGCCCCAATTTTGCCTGGTGTCTTGCGGCAGGCGATTGCGTGGAATGGGCCCTTTGCTCCGTTGTTCTTAAATCATAATGCCAGAGCATGCTTACGTGCCGGGTTTAGGGTTGAACATTGACCAAGGTTTGCTTGAGGTGCTTTCGAGTGCCCTTGCTGTGCTTATGGGAGATGGTCTCGATTAAAGCGAAAACCGTTTGCATTTTTCGAGGTTCTGTTCAAAGGCTGGGTGCAAGACCCCATGTGTGAAACATTTGACCCTGGCGTTTTTGGGTGAAGGGTAACTATGGGACACTTGCCACTTGTGGGCCCGGCGCAGACATAGCTTCGTTGGGTTGATGCTACTTGAGTGAGCCTCTCAGGGCTCACGTTCCGTCAAGTCCATTCTGAGCTGTGGCTCACGGCTCGACTCGATACCCGGGTTAAATGCATCGAACCATGTCTGCAGGGAGGATGTCCTGGACTCGTCCGCCATACTCCCCTCACGGGTTCTGCATACACATCAGTATCTACTTATCTAGCCTGTGTCTCACCTCCTATTTATCTATCTATCTATCTATCTATCTATCTATCTATCTATCTATCTATCTATCTATCCGCAAACAAACATGTGTACAAGCATATGCATGTGCAGAAGTTCACCCACGCCAACTCAGCGACTTATGCATATACGTATGCGTGCAGATGGGTTGATCATGTGTTTCAACTTGATCACGGGCCCCTGGTGACCAAGACGCTTCCTTTTTCACAGGCTCTTTTGTTTGCGTGTTTTCGTTTGGCAAAAGTTAGGACAACATGAAGGAATCCTTGTGCTTTAACACGGGAGAACAAACAAGCCCCACCTGAAGTCCTTTGACACCAACATGAACCACAAATTTCCTGTCCAAAAAGGGAAGGAACCAGACAAACTTCCGATGTCTCAGGTTTCCTCCTAAAACGAGCTGAACCACCTTTTGTTTCTCAGGCCATGAGTTGGAAGAACCCCGAAAACACATGTTTCCCCTATGGTTTGGGGAAACTTCGTGCCCCTCCTTGCAGGGTTGCTGAGCGAGGCATCCCTCGCGTGCCATGGTCTTTCCGCTTTCCCAGGCATGGACCTCGATGCGTCGGGGCAGATCTCCTTGGAGGAGTTCCTGCGGTGCATGAAGGATCCCAAGATCGTGGCGTACATGTCCAGCATCAATGCGGGGATCCCGAGATGCGCGTTCTTTTTGTTTTTGTTTGGGGTATTCAAAGGAAAACCACTGGATCGGGTGCCTTCGAAGGCGAGTTCGCTCTCTCTTTTTTCTCCAACCATGACTCCAGGAGAGATGCTGGGGTCTCCAGAAAGGGGGAAAACAGATTGTTGCGGTTCTCAGAATGAGCTCGGCCTCAGACCCTGGTGTTTGGGCGGCTTCTTTTTGAAAAGCCGCTTCTCCAAAGGCTTGGACTTCAGGGTCTGCTGTGGGGCCATTCCACCAATGCACGGATGTGACTTGGTTGCGTTCCTTTTCTGGCAGCTTTGATTCTCGGCGTTCAGCGACAAGTAGCGTCACTGGCAAATGGGTACCGCACAAATCACTGGGCAGACGGTCCTTTGATCCGACGTGTTTTCTGTTAAGCGAGTAGTTTGATCACTTGGTCAACATTTGATTTAGTTGTGTTCGAGCAGCAGTTGGCCAGCATTTGATTAGCAACGCTTAATCATCATGTTCCAACATGCTTCATTGGTTTCACTGGGTCGCTGTTTTCTTCTTTGGCCGGACCGGCACTTGGCGGCGGTGCCACCGCGTCTTGGATGTTTGGTTTGGCTCTCAATGGGGGGGGACGTGTACACGTTGGTTGTTTCTTCTGGGTCCTTCAGGCTCTCAGTGCTTTCCTGTGAAGCCAGCCAACAGCCCTGCGCTCCAGGTGAGCGTGCACGACGTCCAGTACCTCTTCAAGATCGTGGCGAACCAGAACGACGAGGTGGGGTGCGACAGAATGCCCGTTTCTAAAACCATGGGTATCTCAAAATTGGGGTTAAGTTTGGACGCCCAGCCGCCGGGAGAGGACATGTGAGGAGCTTTGGACGCCCAGCCACCGGGGATGGAGGTCATGACTATTTTAGTGGTTGGTACTGAACACAGTGGAAAGGCTTTTGTGTATTTTTTTTCGCGGTTGCGTTTTTATCTGTGACGAGGTGGACATTGACCGCTTCGTGGATGGGTGCATGTCCATCAAGGCCGGCTCAGGGGAAACAAACAGCGGCCATCAGCGGCCCGTTGGGCGAAAGGAGCGATCTGGGATAGAGAAGCAATCCTGCTGTCATTGTTGACAGAACCCCTTTTGGATTTTCTGCTGGGACGCCAAAGGACACCCCACCCCCCCGGCAAATGGCAGTTGTTGGGGTTTGGAAGGCGTTCCTTGCGGGATGGTGGGCACCCCTTCCCCCCCCCCCCCTCCCCCGGACGAAAGGCTTCGGCCATGCCACACCGAGGGCAACGCCTCGGCTTTGGACATGCAGAAGCAGCTCTACTACATCCAGGCCGGGGGCCCTTTTGCCGCCGGGGATTGTGCGCTGGTCGCAGAAAGGCGCTTTCTTTTTTTCAATGCGGCTTCTTGTTTTGAAAAAAGGCCAGCTAAGCCACAGGTTCTTTCATATCCTTAGGCTCTGCGTGGGTTTCGAGCCTTGCGTCTTTTGCCCTGTTTGAAGTAAGCTTGGGTTCAGAAAGACAGTTGCAAGGGGTGATCCAGCCCCCTAAGCGACCTTCCCCATGGATATTCGCGAAGTCATACGTGATAGGCGCTCGTCCTCACGTGCGGATTTTCCGAGATGCGCCCTTCATGGGAAGGTACGCGTGAAGCGCGCAGACGAAAGGCAAAAGACACATGCAGAATTACAGGCGGATGACGAAGGGATGCACACACGCACATACACACACACACACATGCAAGGAGTGCTTCGGACGGTCCCAGGGAGTGACTCAAAGTGATGGCGCTACAGAAGCACAAGTCAGCTTTCCCCTGAACTCTGGAAGCCGCTATGTCCAACTTTACTTCTTTGCCTTCTGAACGCGCGAGATGCTTTGCTCTCGACTCTTGGGATGGCAGATGGCCGGGCCCCTGAGGCTTAGTGGGCTCATTCCCGAAGAATGGATATGGGGAGACGACTCCTGGAATTTCTATGGTCTCATCTTGGCATTTGTGAAGACAAAGCAAATGGAATTGGTACAGTGAACACTTTGTCCATGGCATTTCATGGATTTTTTTTACGGTGCCCGGGGTCTGAGGGGATATTTGCTCCTCCCGTGCAAGGAGCTGTTTCAGACACTGAGAGACTGGGAAACTACCTACTGGCCCAGCCTCATGCATCGAATGGATGCGCACAAGCAGACCCTGTGAGCGAAGCAGCTCACAAGGTCTTGCGCCTTTGTAGGACGTTTTAGATGGTGGCCCCTCCGCCCCCGCCCTTTCCCTGCAAAGCTCGTGCTTTTCCTTTGACTTGGATGGATGACTGGCAAGCCAAACTGTTAAAAGCTGTCGGAGTTCGGGCTTGGAGCCTGAAGCGAAAAGGAGGGATCCACCCATTTGGGTGTGGCTCAAAATTAAACAGGAGGGGGGGGTTACGCAGGTTTTGGTCCATGTTTGCACTTACCAGGGCAACCCATTTTGGTACCAGTTTTTTGAGCCACAGCCATTTAGGTCTTGAACCCCGGTTCCGAGGGGTGGCACAAGGCCAGCCCAAATGTTGGCAACCCCCCGGGGGCGCGGCGAGCGAGGCGCCCAACGCCGCGGGATGAACTCGGGCCCCTGATGTTTCAAAGGGCGGTGAGCCGCTGATAATATCGGCTGAATATGGCCGTGGGTCAACACCAATGGTACCATTTTGGGGTAGATGCACCACCCATTGAACCTATTTTAGTGGGGATTGGGATGTTCACTGGGGGTACGGAGTGTTGACCCATAGCCATATATTTGTCATGGCTTGGGCTGGCCTGTGGGAACCAATAGTTGCGGGAAAAGGACATGAACAAATATGACACCTGAAGCACATGGCGGACAGATGTATACATGTATATGTACCTTTGTATATCTTGAATTTTCCGATATATCTATATGTATACAGTATATATATACATATACACATACAGATATGTATGTGCAAGCTTCGGTCGTTGGACAGGCCGTCGTTCATCCTAACGCTCGATTCGTTTCACCCAATCCCGGCATTGGATGCATAGGCCGGCCGCGCGTCGGAGCTGCTGATGCCAAGAGCGCGGCCAGCGACCAACACAGCAACCGAAATCTCCGTCCTTCTGGTTTGGTTTGTTTGCATTGTGTGTGTGTGCTTTTGTCATGGCCGTTTTGTAGATGGTTTGGTTCCAGGTGGCGTTTTTGTCTGGCTTCAGGTTGGTGGTAAGTGCTACGCCTTGAATGGAAAGTCTGGCCGGGTTTTTGGGCGCACCGACAAACCTCTTGGCCAGGGGCGCCCCCGAAGCTATGCGCTCGCATTGCGTCAGTTGACTGCACTTCGGCGACCTCACGAAGCTTGGGGTCGCAATGAAGGCTCATTTGGGAATCTTCCAGATTTCGTGGTTGAGATTGCAGGGTCCTGGCTAAGGTCTGCCCCACATTCTAGCTGAAAGCTTCTCGAAAAGTGTCTCTCGCCCAAAGCGAGTCCACTGCGCCGGATTTGTGCTTCCAAAAGGAGTGGCTTTTGTTTCAAGCGAAGCCATGCGGGAACTCCACAATTTTTGGTGCCGCACTTCATTTCTCTGTGGCCTTTCAGTGGTGTTAAACAAGGCCTCCTGGGCCGATTTAAGGTGAGTTTTCCTTCCGGGGTGGTGTTTGAAGAGAAATTCCAGTTCCCAAAGCGCCCTTGGGCGAGTGAGTGATGTTTCTAGAGCCGCTATAGGTGGTGATCCACGAGCGAAAAAGCAGCAAGAAAGAGCGGCGGCCGTTCCTTTTTTGAATTGGAAGGCACACTCAAACCCAGGGGCCTTTGGGAAGATCAATCTTCCTTGGCCCCGAGGTAATCAAATAGAATGCTGGGAGATACACTGAACAGCTGGCAGGTTGGTTTGTGGATTCGAATGCCCCCTTGAACAAGAACCCCTAACCTCCAAAACTGCCGAAGTGTAGCCCCGTGTGTTGCAAAATCATGGGTCAGATGGCGGTTCAGATGGCCTGCGAGGCGCCGCCAAAACCGTCATCAAAGACCGTCACTTGTTACTGCAGGGAGTATTATTTTCATGGTTTCTGCGGGGATCAAAGTCAGAAAATGGGTTGTTTCCCTTGTACCTAGCAGTTGGGGGTGACTTTGATCGTGGTAAAATAATGGGGCCAGTACTTGTTACTGGCCGCTTTTCACAGGAGGCGCCCTTCCAAGGTTGCAGCAGGTAATTGATCGGGGCCCGCAGAGAGCTTTGCATCCTCTTTTGAGAAGTGCAAGCATCAGCTTTTTGAGGGTACAAGCAGCACCGTTTTGTCGCCAATTTTGACACGGGTTTCGTTTGTGACGTTTGCAAGCACAAAGACGCACACAAGCACAAACACGCACAAACACAAACGCACAAACACACAAACACACGAACACACACACACACACACAGAGACATACACACAGGCACACACACACAGAGACGGACACACACACACACACAGACACACATACACACAAGCACACACAAAGAGCCACACACACACACACACCACGTCTAACGACCCTCTTACATAGCTCTTTCTGGGCTCCTGCTCTTGCACCAGGCTTGCCAGTGGGAGATTGCCTGTCTGAAAAAAACCCTGAATTTCTGGGACCCTGCAGGGACGGTGTGCCAGGAATTTGCCGGAGCTCCGATAATCCCATTGATTGAATGTATTTTTTGCACGCTGAGTCAGACTTTTGGCTGTGTGTAGGTTTCTTCAGTGTAGGGGGAACAATGAGCTGTTCAACTCGGCTCATTCCATCTGACCTCCAATGGCGCCTCGGGCGGGTTCCCTTCAATTTCGAGCGGACAGGTCGTATGTCCCTTGGATGGTTAGCACAAGGCCGAGCGAGGGTCACGTTGATTAAGTTTCTCTGGTTTTGCCGACCGGTTTTCGGTGGGCCATCAGTTTCAGGCATAGAACGTTGTTTCTTCATACAATGTTCGCCCAAAAAATACTGTTCACCAAGTTTCCCCACGCAAGCCGGGGCCAACTCACAAGTTTTTCCATGCCCCCTTGGGGAGGCAAGTGAATGTGACCGTGGCTGATGTAAGAAACCTTGGAAAAGGCGGGAGGGGAGGGGTGTGTCCAGCGCTGCGCTCGCGAGGACCCCGTGCTTTCGCTGCCGGACGGGTACTACTTGACCTGCCGATGCTCTGCCCTATGCCAAGTTTCCACTGAGAAGGTCGGAGAGCCGTTTCAAGACTCAGCGGGGGATTTCCTCAAGGCTTTCTCCATAGGCTGAATATAGAACAAACTCGGACGGTATCATTTCTATGTACCTCCGGTGTGGGCAAAGTTTTGGGCATGGATGACCCCCAAGGGTTCCCCGCCGAAAACACACATCATGGGGTTTCTCCAAATGGGGCAATCACCTTCAATTGGTTAGTTTATGTCATAGTTTCTTTTTGGTTTTCCCCATGCAGTGTTTTCCTTTTTCCTTGTGCTTGTCCTTCAAGCTTAGCAAGACCCAAAACAAAAACCGCAAGTCAACCACCCCCGAAAAAAGAATACAAAAGGAGGGGGGTTCTCCAAAATTCGGGGCAATCTTCTGGAAGTCGTTGGTTTCCTCTTGTTTGCCGTTCTTTTTCAGGGCTCCTTAAAAGATACATTTTGCCCATTTGAAACATGGCTTTTTCCACCAAAATAAAGGGAGACCACCATATACAAGGCAATGTTCAGGTGTAAAATGTAAGGATCCCTGTACAGGTGTGATTTTGGCTGGTTTGCTTTCCTTTGACTGCGATCCCAAACAAAGGGCACTCTGACAGGCAAACTATGGCCGTACTGGGAAAAGGGTAGCCAAAGGGAAACCACATTTTTTGATGTTGCTCCAAAGGAAACCAGCATGTAAGGATCCCAGAATTTTTCTCCGTCCCAACAAACGCCGCCTCAGAGCCTCGCCTTTGTGCGCTGACGCTGAGACCACCCTGCGCAGCTCCGCGCTGGCCTTCGGGGTGTACGTGTCCACGGCGGAGTACTGGCGGCCCTATGCCGAGGACGCGTTTCGGGCCGGGCAGTTTCCATGCGTTTAGGGACCATGGGTTTTTAGATGTTTTAGGACCATGGGTTTTAGGACCATGGGATTTTTAGGGCGTTTAGTTCAAATGATCCTCCGACATATGGGTGTGGCTCAGGGTTTTAGGACCAGTGCGTTTTTGAGGGCGTTTAGTTCAAATGATCCTCCGACATATGGGTGTGGCTCAGGGTTTTAGGACCATGGGTTTTTGAGGGCGTTTAGTTCACATGATCCTCCAAAATATAGGTGTGGCTCAAAACAAGGAGCTGGGCTTGCGCAGGGTTAGTCGTTGGATCCATTTACCATGGTGCCATGTTTGAACAATTTGTTGAGCCACAGCCATATTAGGCAGCTTCCAACTAGGGTGGTTTCTTCATCTTGGGGGTAACCCCTCCCCCCACAAAAGGGGCAAACAACTCCCAAATGAAAGGGGCGGTGGGACATTTCCAGCTCTGTGGAAGTTCTCGGGTTCTTCAATGGTTCGGTTTCTAGATTCGGGCCCCCCGACAAAGACTAGTAATGCAAGTAATGTTCTAGTAATCACACTGGTTTTTCACCGGTCAGTTGCACCAGGGTGATCGTGGATGACATGATTGCCTTTCTGTGGTTTAAGGGAATGACTCATCCAAAATGGGTTGCATGGTGCCATCTAGTTTAGGCCAACTGTGTCCAAGCAGGTCGCCCTTTGCCCCAACCACATCTTTTGTTTGAACCCTGGGCCGGTCTTGTTTGTTTTCACTGAGCGAGATTGAGTGCGTGATCTCCCACCAGATGCTGGCCCTTCTTCCATTAAACTGATCCGTAAACCTGAGGGAAAGCACCGACCAGGAGGTGCTTCGGCAGCACGGTGAGCTATGAGCAGTCGGCAGCTGGCCGCGCAAAGCGCAGAATGGCGGCCCCAAACCACATCCAACAAAACCCTGAGGCATACTGGGGTCCTTCTATGTCCCCTTATTTTGTTCAAGATGTCCTTGCCAGCTGAAAGTTTGACCTCACATTCTCTTGGTGATTCACTGTGACTCAAGCACGATGATGTATGAAGGAGTGGTCGGAACCCAAGGCTTTTCAATCAGGGGGTCGAAATGACTGGACTGAGATTGGGTCAGGCTGATATCCGGCCAGGCTAACTACCAAAGAGGTCGACTGGCTTCCTGCGTCTCCCCTCAAACATCCCTTTCCTGAGTTTTTTTCCTCTCTGAAAGTGGCTGTGGGATTTGGCCGCTCCTTGCACCCGCAATGTTGTGCGTTCCTGGGT